GAAAGACAATGGGACAGTCCTAACACCAACACCATCCCCCACTACCACCAGCCCCTGCCCACCTGCATCCCCACCCCCACCTCAGCAGGAGCCTGCCCCCCCATACAACTGCCCACATCAAAGGACCCCCCTCCCTCAACTACCATGACTCTCTCCATCCAGGAGAAGGACGTATCCAGTCTATTCAAGAAACAAAAACCTCGCAAAGCAGCTGGACCTGACCCTATCTCTGCTAGCATCCTGAAGCCCTGCGCAGACCAGCTGTCTCCTGTGGTCACCGACATCTTCAACACCTCGCTGGAGACATGCCATGTGCCCGCCTGCTTCAAAACCTCCACCATCATCCCCGTCCCCAAAAGAACAAGGATTTCAGGCCTCAATGACTACAGACCTGTCGCCCTGACCTCAGTGGTGATGAAGGTATTTGAGCGCCTTGTCCTTGTCAGACCCACTCCTGGACCCACTGCAGTTTGCCTACAGAGCCAACAGGTCTGTAGATGACGCTGTCAACCTGGCTCTCCACTTCATCCTCCTGCACCTGGACTCCCCAACCACCTATGCCAGGATCCTGTTTGTAGATTTTAGCTCTGCCTTCAACACCATCATCCCCCCTCTACTCCAGGACAAGCTCTCCCGGCTGGGTGTGCCTGATCCCACCTGCAGATGGATCACCGACTTCCTATCTGACAGGAGGCAGCATGTGAGGCTGGGAAGCCACACCTCCAACAGCCGGACCATCAGCACTGGATCCCCCCAGGGCTGTGTTCTCTCCCCCCTACTCTTCTCCCTGTACACCAACAGCTGCACCTCCAGCCACCAGTCTGTCAAGCTCCTGAAGTATGCGGATGACACGACCCTCATCGGACTCATCTCAAATGGGGACGAGTCCGCCTACAGGTGGGAGATCGACCGTCTGGTGTCCTGGTGTGCAGCCAACAACCTGGAGCTCAACGCGCTCAAGACAGAGGAGATGGTTGTAGACTTCAGGAAGAACACAGCAC